GAGTTACAATCTACTCCCCACGTCTTCCCTTTGGCAGCTTAAATTAAGTTGCAAATTTGACGGCAAATTAACTTCAGTGGGGACTGGAAGATGTCACCTTTATTAGCATTTTCCTCTCGAGTAAGTGTATATGAGAATCGAACTAATTATTTTCGTATGGAAGCCTGAGTCGATTAAGCACACGGAAAGAGGCGTGACACAGCAGGGCTGTCGGCTGATATCAAATTCCTGTGTCGACAAAAGCTGCGCATAATTGCTCAGTCAACCTTTATCACTGTGATCACAGAGCGGGCGAGTTAATGCACACTAGCATTAGCTGTGACATACAGTCACAATTCCAGTTGAGGTGGTAAAAACACAGGCTCACTCAGACGCTGGGTGTTCTGGCGCGTGCGTGTGTGTGTGTGTGTGTAAACGGGAGGTGGATGAGGAACCAACAGGCATCTCCCCACTTCATCATTGAGTAAATGGTATCACAAACGTGAGCTGCGTCTTCACAGCTGCCTCATGGCGGGTGACATTGAAGCCCAGGCATGAACACATCACTCATCAAAGCGAATGAGGCGTTCCTTCGCTTCTGCTGCTGGTGCAGAGGAAAACAATGGGGCGCCCCCCGCCCCCAACCCACCCTCAAGCGCACAGTTGAACACCTGGAAGGTATAGAGTGAACCCAGATACAAGTGAGAAAGACACGGAGAAGGGAAGAAAGACAATCTATTTGGCTTCGTGCATCTCTCACAGACAGACCGTGACCTTCCACTGTTTCGTAATGGAAAGGAAACGGCAAGAACCCCGTGCCATAAAACAGCTCTGAGCGTGCGCTAACAGTGGTCTGGCAATTAACCTGTCTATAAACAAACAAGGGGGCTTTCGGTTTAACAACAGGAACATACTTGAGACGGTTTATTTCTGCGGCGTTAAACTCAAAAGGCCCACCATGGTTCTGGACTTAATCGGTCATTAGTGCGCTCTCGTCGGCCCGGCTGTTCTCTAGATCTATGCGACTGCAAACTACGAGCTCCCTCAATGTGTTCAAAACAAAAAAACAATGTTGGAGCTCTTCCTCAGAAAGTCGAAGAACAGCCGAGCCCTCAAACGTGTGAAAGGCACTTCAAATGTTTTTACCGACAAAGGACGTTTGTCTTGGCATTCAAAGATAAACTAGAAAGAAACAAGGAGAATGAATCTAACGGTAAAATCCTGAATGCCTTCTTTTAATATGGAAGCACATCCTTGTGAAAGTTGAGGCACGGTTTGAACACAAAAGCTCCACTCTTTCTCCTTAACTATCCTCTTTTCTCTAAGTGGTACCAGACGTAGGTATTTCTTCATGTAGCCCGTTCGGAGAGAGGCGAGCTGCTGTTCTTTATTTATTTAACAAAACGAGCTGTAAAAGCCAAACATTAGGTCATGGAATATTTTCACCCCGAAGAAATAAGTCAATGCCTTTCTATGAGACATCAAACCCAGTTCTAGTGCAAAATGTGAGCGAGTGAGGTCTTTTTGTGAAGTCAAGTGGTGCTGTGGGATTTTTTTTTTTTTTTTTTTTTTCTGTTTTTTAAATACAACTTTTGAGCAGCGCTGCTCCACATGCGTTTCCAATTAGGAACTCTAAGCCAACATCCAAGTCTGGGCCCCATTCACCCCTTCTACGATTGACCAAGTCTGAGGAAATGTTAAACAGGCATCAAAACCATAACAGAGACAGCACATTTTCCAAAAGCTTCACCGTTCTAAACAGTAATTAAGACCTCACAGAGAATTAATGATGTTGAGTGAAAACACCACATGAAATCTAAATAAAAGCAAGGAAGCATATTTTATCATAACTCGACACGTTCAAAGCCGAGGCAGTTGCACGGAGTGCATTTTCCCCTTTGGTGGAACGCTACAAAGGCTGCTTACAGAGTAAAGACATAAAAAATGTCAATGGTGCTGATTTGTGGGGATCATAATGAGAATGCACGATTTACACCAAGCACTCTGAGTAGAATCTACTTCCCTGGGAGCAGCAATAACTCCCAATGAGTCTGTCTCTACTCAGACTTCAATCTAAGGGCCCCAAGGAGCAGTTGGAGGACTTTGATGTAATGGCTAAATGAATTGACCGAGCTTCTTGACGCAGCCCTCCAGTGCAACAACCACTATCTGCTCTCCCTCGACCCACCACCTCAGACTGTGTCACCTGTGATAAACCCTGCGGTTTTTCAGCGCTTGCCCACTAAAAATCCACTCTTGTTTTTCACCCCCTCAGACTTTGGCGAACGGCCAAAAGTGTACATATGACGGCCGACTCCGAGCTGCGATGTATCTGAGCAGACGCCCCTTTGATGTGAGACACTGTATGTGAGTAAAAGAATGCAGGGCTGGTCTTTGTTACTTCACTGCTCTGCAGCATCCACCAGGTGAGTCTTTCTGTCAGACGCCCCCTCAGGGCACACTGTTTGGTAGAGCCTGGGCAAAGACTACAACACCTCATGTACTTCTGTTGATGCTTTTGCTGCAATGATAGTCAGGGACCTCAGCAAGGCGGCTTCTTTAACGTATGTGAACAAAATGCCAGGCCTATTACCCAGACAAGTTACTAAACATGTACTTTTTTGACTGCCTTTTGCACACCACAAGATGCTACTTTGTTGTTTAGCCATGCTGTGGTTTACATGTAGGATTTTAACAGATATCCGATAAATAAGAAGAAAAATAAATGACTAATGAAACATAGTTTCAGATGCTCGACTGTCTTGTGAGACAAAACACAGCCGAGTACAGTTCACGTCAATGCAATGATGTATCTACTGAACCTCAGGACCTGGGCTTGCTTGATTTAACAACTATTGACAAGAAGCAAAACGGATTGAAAACGGGGAAAACAAATCCATGTCCAAGAACTGGAAACAGTCTATTGTGCAACCACTCCTGAGGAACAAACTGTGCTGCAGATGATTCGGATCAAACAGAGGGCCAGAGACAACTGTTAGATGAAAACAACACTTATCCATCTAAGCTCTCGCTTGTTCAATTCTCATTTGACTAAATCCCATTACCATTGATTCTGTATCTTCCCAAAGCCGCGGTTTAGGTTTTCCTTGATAGTGCAGAAATCTTAACTAGGACGTAGCAGCGGTATTTAACCTATTACAGCCTCTGATGGAGCGGCTGGGTTTTGGAGGAAAGTACGAGTTCTACAGGCGAAGGCATTGATCTTGCTGCACCCTGGGCTTTCCCAGCATGTGCAGCGATTCCAGTGGAAATCCTCTGAACACCTCTCTCTCCTCCAGCGGCGTTGCTGCTCCCCGGCAAACCTGCCCTGGATCGAGCATCTCATTTAGTCGTCGGGCCCTTTGATGTGGATGCAGAACTGTGGCGCATATCATTGGTGTTTGAAGGTTTCTGCTTTCACAATACAGCCGGGTTTGAAGTTTCACATACTGCTGGAGCCACATTGTGATAATCTAGGAGCCGGATATGCATTATACATTTTACATATACATATATAAAAAAAAAACACCTTCACCTGAGAATGAAATGCGCAAAAGGTCCATGCACGGAGGTGTATGTTGACTGGAAAGTGTTTGTCAGACTGTTGGGAGCGGGACAGAACATGCCAGTTATCTTGAGCGTTTCACAATTGGCTCCACATCAGCACCGTAGAGGTGGGGGTAAATATCCAAATAAACAGAGCCGACTAACATTTGACGGGGGTCTGCCATGCCATTATTAGACCAATTAAGTTGACAGAATGCTTCTCACATGGCACAGAGGCCATGACAGCTCTTTTTCCAAAAAAAGCACAGGAATAAGAATCTGATCTGATTTCCCGGAGGAGTTGACACACACCTTGGGGGCAGGTCCGTCACTGTCTCCTTCAATAAAACTTTGAGAAATCTGTGTCAAGGGCTGGGTCCTAACTGAGGGACACCAAACCAAACCTGCAGTTTATGGTTGTGTAATGACTAGGAAGGAATTTTTCGCAAGTTTGTTATAGAACTCCTCTGAAAAAAACCCCCCAGCTGTAACGGAGAACACGGAGGAAGAAATGCCCAAAGAATAACACGAAGTTGGCAGCCAGTGTCTGGGAGTGACTGAAGTTGATGCGAGGGCTTGTGATATTGATAATTAGAGAGTGTTTGTATGGATGTGCGGAGCGATGTGTCTCTCTTCAGAGGATGTTTACTGTCTAAAGAATGGAAATGGTGGCAGCCTGAGGGCACGCCTGCTTTCTTCTCCCCTCTCTGCGTATCCATCTTGTGCTAAAGACACACAAACACCAGCACACTTGTACAAACAGGAACTCTACACACCGTGCACACTGACATGTGCAAATACCACCCTCCCCCCCGCACCCCTCACCCCCCAAACACACACACTAAAGAGTCGTCGCCTCCACAAACATCAGCCTCTCAATTAGCATCTGCATTTGTCTTTTTTTTCCCCTCTCCTCCCTGACAGAAAATTATTTTTCAGCTGGATGCCGCTTCTTTTTCTTTTGTTTATTATGAGCAGACCAAAGTCTTATCAGCAGCTAATCACTGCATGTCAAATTCACAGACGTGCAGCAGTCACTTAAAAAAAAAAAAAAGTCTAGTGATTAATCTTCACGAGTTTAGATGCCATTTCAGATTTGGACAATCACCAGTTACTCTTTAAAATATTCAAAAGCTGTCTAACAGCCAGTGAGGAGATCAGCGTTTGTTTAATGTAATTTGTTGTGACATGTTAATTGCATCTCGTTGTAATTCTCCCTAATTGATGTTTGATGCGTCTGAGGAAATTAGGCCAGCTCCATAACACTGCAAATATTATGAATTCTTCCAGCCTCCCTCTCTCTCTGTGGCAGGCCTGATGAATTCACAACACCTAAATCTGTAATGTGTCAACTCGCTGTGCAGCTATGCTCCGTATTCCCAGGGCTGCCAGGCTGACAAATCTAAGGTTACAGGCATACCACAGTATATTCAAAACACATTCAGCCTCGCCGCAGTGGGCCCGGCTAAACTAACCTGAGCGATTTTCACCGAGTTCTGGGTTGAGCCACCGGCATGGTATTCCACGTTGTTCCTCTTTATGATTTCTTCAAACCTATATGTGGAAAAAAAAAAACACAAAGACAACAAGCTAATGAGATACAGCGTACAGTGTTTAAAATACTATATGTTGCTATATAATGGTCACTTTGAATGTATTTTGCCATTAATATGGTTAATGCTAAGGTGCTAATGTTGATTAAATATGCTTAATAATTTTCTTACAACACATTTTGCATACTTTACAAAAAATTATTCAGTGCTTAAATATCAATCTTGGTGTAACATGCTGCTAATAAGACAATCATATAATAATGTTAATGTTGTTTGTGTTAATGTGCTGTGTTACAGTAACGGCACATTACGCCGACATCGCTCTGCGTTAAAACAATATTTTAAAAAAGATCACACATATTTACCAAAGAAAGAAATTAAAAAGAACTCAGTATTATAATCCCATTTTGCTCGGAAAGAACTAGAATTTCAAGCGAATCTAATGATCCACCGTGTCTGCTCACAAACTAAGCCTAACTTTCTCTTGCTCTCGTCGTGTCTCTAAGGGTTTGGTGAGGAACAGAAAAACAGAAACAAACATGATTATCATACAGAAACAACACTGCTCTGTGTGATTCTTACTGTTGTTCTGGATCTGCGTCTGTAGCAACACTAATGCCAGTACCAAGACTTAAAGATAGGATATCGTGTGCAGGATTAGGATCAGAGATCGTTGTCAAAGACAATGAAACTGATGGTCAATAAAATTTAGCATACACTGGTAAACATTTAAAAAAAAAAATATATTTTTAATAATAATAATTTGAACTTCATTGATCCCAAACAGCAGCTGCAACAAAGTAAAGTATGCGGTTCTCCTGGGAATCAAACCAAGGACTACTACCGCTACACTATGGAACCATCATTTATGTAAAACATTTGGTCTAACTATCACACAGTCTTATAGTTTTATTCCCACACTTTAGCATTACTGTGAATAGTTTGGCAATCATATAGTTCAATATTCTTTTGTTGAGAATCTCTGAGTGAAATCAATATGATCTTTTATGGAGCAGAGTGTTAACTCTGCCATATACTCCTTGTTTACTCCTCTTCATCTCTATATCATTTGAACTGAGGTTTGTTTGTATACATTTCTAAAAATGGAAAAGCAGAATTTTAGGTTGGATGTTGGATCTTTCTACCACAGAATAAAATATATGCAAAAAACAAAAAAAACCAATATAAAACAATTAACATTTCAACAAAATGAGTTGTAACAGTGAACAAAACATGATGAATATTTAATAAGAGAAATAGATTCATTTGTTTTTACAGAAGTGATGTTTTGTGTCAAAGCAGAAATTTACATTTTCCTTGTGTACAAACCCTCCTATAGTCTGACACGGTGTTCGGGGAGCAATCACGTCTGATGAAACGTTTGAAGTGCGAACCGTACGGCAAAGTCTAGGAATGACTGCAACAGACTAAACACAATGAGTCAAGGAAACAGAAATGGCACTGGGGAATAAGGAGTAAACAACCGCTGAGTTTTCAAACACAAACCAAAGGAACACTCTTGAGTCAAGGGAGGTTAAAAAAAAAACTGAAGGAGTTTCTATTATTTTTGTATTTTCCCATCATGCTGCGGTTTCAAACATCAATAGCGCCAACGCGTACGCGTAACGTGATGCAAAGCCGGTTTATGCCGCGAAATAGAGTCTTTATCTGGGGAGCTGTGAACATGAATAATGTGTATTTTCCACTTCTCTCGCACAAACAGCGTCCCGGGGGGGGGGGGGGGGGGGGGTACAAACATGTCCACTCTGCTACGGAAATTGACCTAACTGCAGTTGAGAGGACCCAACACATTAGGAGGTCCCTGACTTTTCCTCCCCTCCACTGTAAATTGAAGACTGTCCTTTTGTAAGTGCATTTGCATCTCGGGTAACAAAAGAAAAAAAAAAAAGTCAATCGGGTTGGGAAACATAAGGTGTTCCATGGCATTCCCACTGGTGCGGTGTGCAGTTCAGCTCTTAAATTAGGTGAGTACACTACGAGAGGCTGGTGAGAAAAGGCTTCTGGTATCCCATGAGACACTTCTTATATAAAGGCTCATGCTTCCTCTTTAAGGATTAAACAAAAACACTTCCAGCCAGTGTCAAACCTTACATTGTTTTCGATGCTCAGAGTTATAGCATTAAGGAATTTCCGGCAATTTAAACCACGGTATAACTCAATTATTATCCTGTGGGCCAATTTAAGTGGGACAAAGAATGTTCAGGGTGGTGTTTTCTGCAGGAATTTCACTTCCTGCTTTGCAAAGGATTAGTTTAGCAGTCATTTTGAAGACATCCATTCAATAAACTTATCACACTTGGTGGTGTGCCATAGGATATTTCTGATATATAAAATATGTGACGTGGTTCTTTAAAAAAAAAAAAAAAGTTGGAAAACACAGGGAATGAGTTTTTATGTAAATTATGTCTCCATTTCCATCCACCTGCTGGAGAAAATGAAAAGCTGTGCACAAATCACACGGGGTCTACAAACCTAAGTCAGCCACAGGTGTACAACATCGAATATAACTAGGCATGGCTGAATTTTGACCAAGTGTGAAAGTAACTGTCACTGCTTCAAAGAAGATTCTGCATATTATGTCTCTGGGCAAGAGATCCACTCAGGGCAGAATATTCCAAATAAAAGGGGGGGAAAAAACTTCCATACAAGTGTAAAATATGCTCACCCTAGGGAGAAAAAAAAGCCTTCCTGAGACACCTGTTATGACTGTTTGACAAAGAAAGAATTTGGGCACTGTGGGTGTTTTTAACATGAAGGTCTACAGAACTTAGTGAGGATGTGTGTGTTTTTACTCCCCCCTTCTCTAAAAGTATTTGCTCCACCTTTCAGGGTAGACAGCATGAGGCCCTTCTCCTGGACGCCTCGAAAATCCCATCCGAAATGGAGCAGCTGCCTGGAGACCTTTGCACCCTCAAACATCATGTGATCCCTTAGTAGTGACACCGTAAACGGCCCCCTTGGCCATTTAGGGAGAGAAAATCCCTTTCCATCTACTGCAGCCTGTGTGCTCTCTGCCACGGGAGGGAGCAGAGAAAAGGAAAATTGTTTTGAACAAAATGTCCACAGCCTGTGACCTTCTCTTTCAAAACCTGGTCATGTTGTTGTTCAGCTATTCCAACTATGCATTGCATACTGCTCATGTATGGGTGATCTGTGTTATGCAACATGTACTTTTATTCCACTGCCCCTGACACTCTGGTTAAAAGGTCAAGGCACAGTGCTGTTTTTTTTTTTTTTCATTCCAAAGGAATGTACTTATTTACCTTGTCCACAATCACATTCAAATCACGCTGCAATGTTTTATGAATGCAACTTTTGTATCACAAGGACGCGAGAAAAAGCCAAGGCTACAAAATCAGATTAACACATTCAAAGTGTTGTGCAAGTCACTAAAGTCAGGGACGTTGAGTTCTTTACATTCCTGGAGCTTGAGCCCCCACCGCTGATTTCACATCGAGAGAAATATCAGAGCTTCTAAAACACAGTGTTCCCTGCCCTGAGTGACTCATGAGTTCCTCTGTCACCTCCTGTCAGTAGATTATTTACACCAGGCAATAACTCAAGATTTGCTCTCTTTAGTCTCTTACACGGAGGGCAAGGCGGGCCCATTTACCCAATCCCTCTCCATTCGCCTTTGATGTTAGCCTATCTCAATAAGACCGGATGAGTGCCCTAAAATCCCCGTCGAGTGATTCCACAGGAAGAACAAGTCTCCGTTAATCAATGGCTAGATTGGATCTGGATCTTTGGAGTGGTCTGCCTGAAAGTCCTCCCAAGTGTTTGAGTGTGCACCGGGGTAATTCATCGCTAATGATCACCGTGGCACCCGCTCTCCTGCACTGAGTCCGTCCTCATTTAATTGCCTCGTTCACGTTAAACCAGCTTACAAATCACAAGGACAGGCAGGGAAACATGATCAAATGGTGCCTATCACTAATCAGGCGAGGGCAGAGGGAAGAAGGGAGAGGAATGTGCAGCTCTCCCTGGGGATTTGGCAGAAGTAGGGCTCAACAGGAACAGTAAATTGTCTCTGCCTCGGCTTCAGCAGGCAGGTACATTTAAACAGGCAGACCCATCGTTCTCGTTCTCTCTGACAGAAGCAGCGAGGGGCCAGCACAGCTAAAGGGATTCGGTAAGCCCAGTTTCAACACTGGCGTCCAGAGTGGAGACAGGTCCCACCATTAGATTCCCTAGTCAGTGTGTGTACATCCTACAGCCAGCTTCCTTGGTAGTCTGCAGGCAATACTGGACCTGATGTACGGTAATTGTTTCCATAGGTCAGGTGTAGAGTAAAAAACAGTTTGAGGAAGTGATGAAAAGGCTGAGGAATATTGTTGTCCTCCCTCCCTCGCCAATTAAATTGTTTGTCAAACCCTTCACAAAGGGTTACGCAGTTTATCTGTTTAAAATCAATACACTCGTCTCACTGTGAAGGCTTGTCCCGACACAAGACGGACTCATTAATTATTCTGTTCTGTGCGCTGCCGCCGAGCCGCTCAAGGTTGAGCCTTATCTTTTCTTATTTCCAATCAATAATTATCTTCCACCGTGCTCATGCTCTCCTTCAGAAAAAAGATGTGCTTTTCATTCAACGCCTGTAAAGTCCCCTACTCTTCCTTACACACACACACACACACACGTTCCGTCTCTGTGTAGCAACTGGTGTGGAATGCTGAATGAATAAGACATTCTTATCAGTGGAACATTAAAGCAGTGAGGGAATAGATGGCAAAGAATAAGGCACATAAAAGTACTGAACACAAATGAGCCCTGATTCAAACTGTGAGCGAGGTATGTTTCCGTCCTCTGACATCTTCTAATAGACCGCAGCAGTCGGATGAATGTTGATTTGGACAAAAAGCGGCGCAATATTACCATGGCGCAGGTTATCTCCATCCATTTAGGTTCATCCCTTTTCAGCCTCCAGGTCTCAGGTTACAAAACACGTGTCACAGCTCTTTGAGCTGAGCTTTCATTTAT